AATCTCTGCTCATAATTTTGCATCAGACAACCCACTCTGTTCTACCACAGGGCAGCAGAAATGCTGAGCATTTCTGATATCCAGGAACACCATCAGAGATAAGGGGGAGCTTATAAAGAAGACCCCAAACATCCAAAACACTAAAGACAATGTCCACATGTGTCACAGAGGAGGGTTTATGGGAAATGTCTTTGATTTTCATTACACATATCTCCTCTCTCTTCACTGTCCTTTCTCTGTGAACAGGTGCCCATGTGCAGCCACAGCAAATGTCCAACAGCAGCTCCATCAGCCACTTCCTCCTGCTGGCACTGGCAGACACGCGGCAGCTGCAGCTCCTGCACTTCTGCCTCTTCCTGGGCATCTCCCTGGCTGCCCTCCTGGGCAACGGCCTCATCATCAGCGCCGTAGCCTGCGGCCACCACCTGCACACGCCCATGTTCTTCTTCCTGCTCAACCTGGCCCTCAGCGACCTGGGCTCCATCTGCACCACTGTCCCCAAAGCCATGCACAATTCCCTCTGGGACACCAGCACCATCTCCTACACAGGATGTGCTGCTCAGCTCTGTTTTTTTGCCTTTTTCATCACTGCAGAGTTTTCCCTCCTGACCATCATGTGCTACGACCGCTACGTGTCCATCTGCAAACCCCTGCACTACGGGACCCTCCTGGGCAGCAGAGCTTGTGCCCACATGGCAGCAGCTGCCTGGGCCAGTGCCTTTCTCAATGCTCTCATGCACACAGCCAATACATTTTCCCTGCCCCTGTGCCATGGCAATGCCCTGGGCCAGTTCTTCTGTGAAATCCCACAGATCCTCAAGCTCTCCTGCTCTTATCTCAGGGAACTTGGGCTCATTGCTGTTAGTGTTTGTTTAGGACTCGGCTGTTTTGTGTTCATTGTTTTCTCCTATGTGCAGATCTTCAGGGCTGTGCTGAGGATCCCCTCTGAGCAGGGACGGCACAAAGCCTTTTCCACCTGCCTCCCTCACCTGGCCGTGGTCTCCCTGTTTGTCAACACTGCAGCATTTGCCAATCTCAAGCCTCCCTCGATGTCCTCCCCATCCCTGGATCTGGCCCTGTCAGTTCTGTACTCAGTGGTGCCTCCAGCCCTGAACCCCCTCATCTACAGCCTGAGGAACCAGGAGCTCAAGGCTGCAGTGTGGAGACTGATGACTGCATGGTTTCAGAACAGTAATTCCTAACCTTTTTCTGCAAATCGCTTGTAAAATTATTCATCTTTATTTTTCTTTGGTTGTGGTTGTTTTCCCTTTGTTTTCATTTTTAAATATTGTCCACAAACAAATGCCATTGTTTTGTCATTTCTCATTTGGTTACTTTCCAACTTTACTGTCACTGATAGACTGTGTCAATGAGGGGCTGCGCTCTCGGTGGCTTTAAAGGAACTAAAGGATCTCCCAGCAGAGTTTTCTGCAGAGATGCCCTTTTGTTGCCTTCTCTGGAGCTGCAGCAGCAATGTCTGTGTGCAGAGCTGGGGGCAGATCAGTGCTGGCACAGCAGCTCTGCTCCTGCTGGCCACACCATTCCTGATCCAGGCCAGGAGCCATTGGCCTTCTTGGCCACCTGGGCACACGGCTGGCTCATGTCCAGCCTGCTGTCCATCAGTCCCTGCAGGTCCCTTTCTGCCTGGCTGCTGTCCAGCCACTCTGTCCCCAGCCTGGAGCGCTGCAGGGGTTGTTGTGGCCAAAGTGCAGGACCCGGCACTTGGACTTGTTAAACCTCACCTTGTTGGATTTGGGCCCTGGATCCAGCCTGTCCAGGGCCCTGTGCAGAGCCCTCCTACCCTCCAGCAGATCAACACCCATATCCAGCTTGGTGTCATCTGCAAAGATGTCCTTGGTTCCAAGGGGCCCCTCAGCGTCACAATGTCCCTTTGGTTACACCAGGCCCTGCACTGTCACACTGGTCTCCTTGGTTCCATGGGGTCCCAAAATGGGACAATGGACTCCTTGGTTCCATGGGGCTTCACAGTGTCACAATGTTCTCGTTGTTGCCGCAGTTTCACAGAGGCCCCTCGGTTCCATGGGGCCCCAGGGTGTCACAAAGGCCCCATGGTCACATGAGGTCCCACACTGTCACAATGCTCTCTGTGGCTCCACAAGTCCCCTCAGTGTCACAATGGACTCCTTGTTTCCACAAGCCCACACAGTGTCACAAGGGCCTTCCAGATTCCTGGAGGCCCCAGAGTGTCACAGTGGCCCCTTGGTTACACAAGGTCCTGCAGTGTCACAATGTCCCCTTGGTTCCATGAGGCCCCGCAGTGTCAGAAGGGCCCCTTGGTTCCACTGGGCCCTGGACTCTCCCAATGCTCTCTGTGGTTTCACAGTGTCACAATAGTGAAACCCCTCGGTTACACGAGGCCCCGCAGTGTCACCATGGCCTCTGTGGTTCCACCAGGACCCAGTGTCACGGGGACTCCCTGGTTCCATTGGGCCCCAGAGCACCATAATGGAGCCCTGGTTCTATGGGGCTGCACAGTGTCACCATGGTCCTCTTAGTTCCACGAGGCCCTGCAGGGTCACAATGGCCCCAGAGTGTCCCAATCATCACAGAATGACAGAATCAAATAGGCTGGAAAAGACCTTTGGGATCATCAAGTCCAACCAATGCCCTAATACCGCCTTGTCACCCAGACCATGCCACTGAGTGCCACTGGAGAGGGACAGTGACTCTGCCACCTCCCCCCTGGCCTGCCCATTCCAATGCCCACTCACCCTTTCTGTGAAGAACTTCTTCCTCTTGTCCAGCCTAAACCTCCCCTGGTGCAGCTGAAGGCTGTGTCTTCTTGTCCTGCCCTCCAGCAGATCCACACTCACACCCAGCTTGGTGTCACCTGCAAATTTGGGGATGGTGGGCTCGATCCCCTCACCCAGATCATCGGTGAAGATGTTAAACAGGACTGGGCCCAACACAGATCCCTGGGGACAGCACCAGGGACTGGACACCAGCTGGGTGCAGCACCATCCCCACCCCTCTCTGGTGAAACAAAATATTTTCCAGAGATCACTTGAACTAACAAAATGAATGTATCAAAAATGAATGTATCAGAAATGAATGTATCAAAAATAAATGTATAAAAAGAATGTATCAAAAATGAATATATCAGAAATGAATGTATCATGTTTGTAGAACTGTGTGTTGAATTTTAAGAAACCCCTGCACAGAAAGGCATAGGAAAGAAAAACAAAGATCTCTAAAGCTTCTTGCAAAAAGACAAATACCGGAAAGGACCAGGAATGCCAAGACTTCAGACAAGGAAGTCCTCTGTCTCCAACATGTCAAGGATGATGAACTTATCCAGATAGGAGAGCAAAGGACCAAAAGCGCAAGCGCAGAGGAGAAGAGTTCAAAAGTTCAATGCAGAGGAAGAGGATGATCTGAAGCTCAAAGACCACCAGGGACCCCCATAAAAGACCCCACAAAAAACTACGCATGCCCAGAAGGGCGTGGACCTATTTAGCATGGGAAGCGAAGACAGGCGGGGCCAGGGGTTGAATATGCATAGAAAAGTCGTGTAATGTATTGCATATGGAACACCTTTGTGAATAAAGTCGGGGGGCAAACTTCAGCTCGGGGCACAAGATTTCAGAGAGTTATCTCACTTGTGCCGGGTGCTGACAATACATACCCACTTCATAACTACCTCGAGTTGTGGAGTCTATTTATTTATTCCGCATATCGCTTCAGTGCCCCCTCCCCAAAAAGCTCCGAGGGCCCCTGAAGTGGCTCCTGTTCCACCGGCTGGCACCCCCTGACCCAGGACAGTCCCCAGTGAGTCTGCGGGGCTCCAGGGGGATTTTGGGGGGATTTTGGTGGCGTTTTTTGGGCTTTGGGGGATTTTGTTGGGGGTTTAGGGGGAATGATTGGATTTTTGGGGAGAATTATTGGGTTTTGGGGGGGTTTTGGATTTTATTGGCGTTTTGGAGTGGGTATTTTGGGGGGTATTTATTGAAAGATTTGGGAAATTTTTTGAATTTTGGTGGGTTTCACTGGGATTTTGTGGGATTCTCTGCGGTTTTGGAGGGTTTTATTGGGATTTTTAGGGGATTTGGGGGTTTTTTAGTGGAATTTTGGGGGGCCTCAGGTGGTCTGTGGGTGTTTTGGAGTTGTTCCTGGGGGTGGGGGATGGCTGAGAGGTACCAAAGTCTCGTTTAAACCCCTGAAAGTCCCAATAAAACCATGAAATCCCAATTAAATCTCACAAAATATCATTGGAACACCCTAGAATCCCAGTAAAAGCCCAGAAAATCCCAGTTAAACCTAACAAATCAACCCCAAAAATGACCCCAAAACCACAAGAAGCCCCACAAAATCCTCCCAAGAGCCAAAGAAATCCTGGCAACACCCAAAAAAATCCCACAACATCCCACCAAAAATCCACAAAAAACCCCAAAGAATCTGAAATAAAACCAGATCCCCAGAGAATCTCACTAAATACCACCAGAATTCCAATAAACCCCAAATCCCCCAAAAATTCCAGTAAAACCCCCAAAATTCCAGAGAATCTCACAAAATCCCAGTAAAATCTTCCAAACTTCACAAGAAAACACAAAAGTCTTCAATTAATACACCCCCTCACAAAGCACCAATAAAACCCCTGAAAATCCAAACCCCCCAATATCCACAAAACCCCCAAAATTCCCCAACTCCTCCCAAACCCAGTAATTCTCTCCAAAAACCCCAACAATTCCCCATAACTCCCAACACAATCGCCAAAGCCCAAAAAAGCCCCAAATGCCCCAAGCCCTCCCTGGTCCCTGCTGGTCCCCCCAGGCCCGTCCGGGGCCGCGGCCAAAACTCCCCGGAGCGAACGCGGAGGTCCCGGAGCGATCCTGGAGCGATCCCGGGCTCGGCCTCGGGCTCGGCCCCTTGGGGGATTTTGGGCCAAACTGGGCAGGTTTAGGGCGGCTTTCAGATCCCTTGTGGGAATTCCGAGCCTTTTCACATTGATTTTTGGCCCCTTTGGCTGATTTTAGGCCGGTTCTGATGGGGTTTAGGGGGGATTTCAGATCCCTTTGGATGATTTTAGGTTCATTTGGGTGAATCTTAATCCTGCGTGGGTGATTTTAGGTCCCTTTTTTTGGTGATTTTGGGCCCTTTTGGGTGTATTTTTGCTTCTTTGGGCAATTTTAGGTGGAACCAAGCCTTTTTAGGGTGATATTAGATCTTCTTGTGTTGTTTTCAGGCACTTTTGGGTGATTTTAGGTACTATTGGGTGATTTTAGGCCAAACCAGGTACTTTCAGGGTGGATTTTAGGTCTATTTGAGAGATTTAAGGGTGATTTTAAGACATTTCTTCTGGGTTTTAAAACATTTGGGGCAGGTTTAGGCACCTTTGGTTGGATTTTAGACCCCTTTAGTTACTTTTAACCCCATTTGGCTGATTTCAGGCCAAACCATGTGGATTTAGAGTGGATTTTGATGCTCTTTGGATGCTTTTAGGACCATGGCAAGGACAGAGACTCAGACCCTGCAGACCCTGAGTGCAGTTCTGGCCTGGTTGAGGTGGATTCTCACCAGGTGATTGTTTGCAGGTGTGTTTGCTGGGCTGCCACGCTGCACGGCTCCTGGCAGGGCTTGGCAAGGAGCAGCGTGCTCTGTACACTTAAACCTGCTGCATGATCCCCACTCACCACAATAGGGTTAATGAGGGGTTAATTTCCCCACCTCTCAGCTTTGGTGATCCCCCATGGAAGATCCCTCATCTGCCTCATGACCACCGTCAAGGACGGAGATTGAGGCCCCCTCCCACGGGCTGAGACTGAGACCCTTAAACTTCTAACACAGGGCGCTGGCCTGACGGAAGCGGGATGTCTGCCAAGTGTTCCCTCAGGTGTGATCGCTGGACCAAGACTGGTTTCCCATGGCAAGGAGTCCTGAAACAATGGGTCCTGCTCGCTGCCGGGACTGGTTTGTCCAGTTCGGAACTGCACTGTCTGTGCTTGTTCTCAGCTTATTCTCAACTGCCCTGTACCTGCTCCCTCAACTATAATAGACCCCTGAGTTAACCAAAGACTTTGAGATTCTCCCCGATGTGACAATACAGATCTGTTGGCTGGACCACGAGGATTTCGTCTCTCTGTTGGTAGCTATTTCCCCTCACCCACCTTCTCTGTCTCTCTATCCTTTATCTCCTTCCTAACCCTTCTATCCCATCTGCTGAGGGCATCAATAAAAGGTGCATTTGCTTTCAGTGATATTGGAAGTCCCCCTGCTGTGTGTCCTTTGCACTCTGAGATGGGTAAAATGAAACATCAGGACCCCCACTTGTACCAGCGGATCGTGGCAGCCCAGCACCCTAAATGGGGAGAGCCAAGAGGGGGGAGCTTTTGGGATTGCTGGGACTCCCGGCAGCCTGGGGAGGGCGGGCACCGAGGAGAAGGGGGACCCCCAATCCAAGTGTGACCCCAGCAGCTGGGACAGGGGGGAGCCCCGAACAGCAAAGGGGAGGCAGCAGGGACAGGGAACTCCTGGGAGGCTTTTTCAGGGCTGGATCTTGGTGCTTGGGAGGTTTTTATGGAGCCCAGGTGGCCAGGGACTTCTAGGGATGGACTGGGACAGAGGGACCCTCAAACTCAGCGTACTCATCCCTTGTTTTTCCCCAAACTAGGATTTTCCATTCCCAGCCCCTGGGAGGCTGCAAGGAAGAAGAAGATGTCCCAGGACACCGAAGCAGGTGAGGAGGAAGTCAGTGCCCCTTTCCCCCTCTCTCCTGCTCCATCTCCCAGCCCAGCCTGGCCCCCGGCTGCAGGACAGCCCCGCTGCCGGTGCCCTCCTGCCGGGGATGCACTGGAGGGATCTCCTTGCCCTTCCCTGTGGCACGGAGGCAAATCCCATCCTCTCCTTGTCCTTCCTCCCCCAGAGCAGGAGCTGAGGATGGAGACCAGGAAGGACAAATCCCTGCGGCACAACCTCATGGAAGAGGCCATTTTGAGCAACTCCACAGCACAGGAATCCAACAGGGAGGAAAAGCCCCGGAGATCCCACACAAGGAGGGGCTGCAAACCCAGCCCAGGGTGCTCTGAGGAGGAAAGGCCCACTCTGGGTCAGGAAGGTGGGCAGAGCTTCAGCCAGAGCTCAGAGCTGGTGGTCCCTGAGAAGCTTCAGAATGGGGAGAAGCCCTACAAGTGCTTGGAGTGTGGGAAGAGCTTCAGGAAGAGCTCCCACCTGATCAGGCATCAGATGATCCACACTGGGGAATGGCCCTACGAGTGTGGGGAGTGTGGGAAGGGCTTCAGCTGCAGCTCTGCCCTTGTCACCCACCAACGCATCCACACCAGGGAGAGGCCCTACGAGTGTCCCGAGTGTCAGAAGAGGTTTCAGACCAGCTCCCATCTCCTCCGGCACCAGCGGATTCACACGGATGAGAGGCCTTTCCGCTGCCCCGACTGCGGGAAGGGATTCAAGGAAAACTCCACCCTCATCACCCACCGGTGCATCCACACTGGGGAGAGGCCCTACGAGTGTGGGGAGTGTGGGATGAGCTTCAGCCAGAGATCCAACCTGATCCGCCACCAGAGGATTCACACTGGGGAGAGGCCCTATGAGTGTGGGGAATGTGAGAAGAGCTTCAGCCAGAGATCCAACCTGATCCACCACCAGATGATCCACACTGGGGAACGGCCATACAAATGTGGGGAATGTGGGAAGGGCTTCAGCCGAAGGTCCCAACTGATCACCCACCAAATGATCCACACTGGGGAGAGGCCCTACGAATGTCCCGAGTGTAAGAAGAGGTTTCAGGCCAGATCAAATCTCCTCCTGCACTGGCGGATCCACACTGGGGAGAGGCCCTACGAGTGTCCCCAGTGTGGGAAGAGCTTCTCCAGGAGCTCTCACTTGACCAAACACCA